TGTTATCCTTAATCCCAGAAGCTAATCTAAGCTCCAGTGCTGCTTTAGTCTTCCTCACTAAATCCCTACAAGCTCGGGTCAGGGAGGTGTACTCCTCCTTTGTCCCTGACCCCTGCTTCCACTGCCAATATGCTTTTTCTTTGCCCTCAGGCCAGCCTGGATATCTGTGCTCAGCCATGAAGGTTTCTTGGACCCTTTTTCCACCTTCCTGCGCAGAGGAACTGCGTCCTGCTGCGCCCCAAGGATAGCCTCCTTGAGGAAGGACCACCTTTCCTGGACCCCCATACTAGCTATACCCTGGGCTCCAAGTGCCTCCCTGACTACTGCCCTGAGCACATCAAAGTTGGCTTTCCTAAAGTCAAGCATTTGCGCTGTGCTAGTTACCCTCCCCACCTTTCTCTGAATAGCAAACTGGATCATTTCATGATCACTGTCCCCTAGCCTCCCTTGTACTAGCACCTCCCTCACCAGGTCATCCCCAGAGGGATCAGAAACTTTATCATTCTTCATTCCATTGGCAGAAAGCATGAGGACAGGCGCAGGTCACATATTCACTGTACAGATATTGCCAGTCAGAATTTTTTGTGCCCAAGTGTATGAGATGTGTGTATCCAGTGAAACATGAATGTGGAAAATGCCTCTGAAATAACTTCAGTTACTATAAAATAAGTTACTTCTCTTTTCATTTCTGTATGTTTCTGTTTCTGAGCAGTCTTGCATGAACAATAGGGTAAGATTGAAGAAATGGAGCCATCTACTGGACGTTTTACTTGATCTTGAAATTAGAAATTTGAAAATACAGCAGCTTAAACGTTTTCTTAAGTTATTTTAATACAAATTAGATCAAATAGTGAAAAATGAGGAATACTTGCTTTAGTTGTGTCACAATTAAGTCATTTTTAAGGACTAATTTTTGAACACTCACCTTTTTGAGAACCTATCAGCACTTTGAGTTGCCACTTATAAGATTGCTAAAGGGACCTTACCACCTTCAGGAGGAATGTTTTATCTGTCCTTAATGTCTGCCATCAGAGCCAATGTCACAATTTCAGACTTTTACAGCAGCTACTTGGAAATCTATTTATGTTTTGTATAGCACTTCTTTCCTGACTATCTCTTGATCATCATAGTCCCGGTCTGCCTGACCAGCAAGTTAGTTCCTCTCTTGAGGTACCTTCCCTGACTCAGTCTTGCCCTTATTCATATTTACAGTTATCATGCCTAGCCATTTCTAGTTCCTACTGTCCTTTTTCATGTCCTCTTGTTATTCCCTTAGATGCCTAGTCTAACACACATATGGGCCCATTCTCTTCTCCAGGGTCTTCATCTAGTCCAGGTCCTTCATCCCATTCTCCCAGGTTTATTCTCTAAGTCTTTTTGTCACAAATCTCCCTGTGTCCCTCCTCGCCCTAGCTCCATGTCAGAACTGACTACCCTCCCATGCTTTCCTCAACAGTCCTGCAGCACCAGTCCCTCCCACTTCAGTTCCTCATCTGATCTTAGGGTTTCCCCAGCAGTTGTCAGGTAGTTTCTAGGATGGAATTCCTTTTCCTTTTGTGCATGTAAATAGAAGTTTTCTAGCTGCATAATCACATTTTTGCCCTGCCCTTCCCCACACAAACACATTGGTTTCTGGCTGACTACATTTTGGGGATTGGACACGAGTACTTGTACAGAATGGGTATGTGTACGCACCTGCCTGTACACTCAGTCTATCTGTAGCTTACTGCACATGCTCAGTCTACATATGCACACATGTTCACACAGGGACCTCCAACCTGGGCATGAGGCAGGATCATCTCTATTCAAAGCATCCCATATAAATCCAGACAATCAAATTGATCATCTAACCTATTAGTAACACTGCATAATCAACCATGACACAACCACAAAGCATAACACCCTAACCTGCCACAGGTAAAGCAGGGAGACAACAGCAGCTAATGTCTTGCATCTGTAAAGGTTTGTTAAGATATACTTGAGAGATCCAAGAAGAGGGCCATGTGAGCTATAATGGAAGGCAACCCCCCCCACACACACACAGTCTGTACCAATCTGACAATAGGGTAACATTCCTCCCTAACCCCAAGTATGGCTATTGGTCTGACCCCAAGCAAAGGGGCAAAACCTTCTAGCCAGGAACCTTTAGGTTTAAATCCCAGGAGAAGCCTTGGCACTTTCCATTCAAAATCCTAAGCTTTAGCCATGGCCAACATCCAGTGTTTCCGAGGAAAGTGAACAAAATCCCTGCAACATGAAGCAACAGAATCGGGAGAAGAAATCCCTTCCTGGCCCCATGTGGCAGCCAGCAAAGCCCAGAAGCATAGGAAATACCCATAAGTGCATAGGCATAGCTACTTCTAGATGATCTTTGATCAATGCTCATCTAATCTCAACAACTACCCTAGGAAGTCTATTCCACTTCCTCACTGTTCTTACAGGGAAGAAGTTCTTCCAGATATCCAGTCTAAACCTACTTTGCTGTAATTTCAAACTTTTGGTCTGCATCCTGCTCCCTGCAACAAAAAAGGAAAAGTTTTTCCACTTCTTTATGGCAGCCCCTCCAATATCTGAAGACTGCTATCATGTCCTCTCTTAAGAACCTTTTCCATAAGTTAAATCTGTCTATTGAACATAAATTGAACGTGCCTTTATCATGTATATTCCCTGCCTCTAGACCTGATTTAACTTCTCTACATCCTTTTTAAAAAGCGAAGCCCAAAACCGCACACAGGGTGCATGTACATGTGACACTTAACTGCACAGTAGCATAGTTTACTGCGAAGTAAGCATGTGTGACTACATGTGCAAATGCTTACTATGCAGTAACCCTCCCTAATTGCACGTAAATTTGCTACCTGCAAATGCAAGTAGCAAATTTACTTTTGATTAGTAATGGTGTGTTAGCACTCGTGTAGATGCAGTAGCGCTCATGTAGATCTTTATCTCCCAGCACTGGCCCCGCAGTCACAGAGCTGGGAGATAAGGATCTCCCGTGGTTGTTGCTGGTTGGTCTCTCTGTGTTCATCATACTGTCCATGTCCTGTCTCATCAACGCATTCCAAGCTCATCACATGCACACCCTTCCCAAAACAAGAATTTTAGCCCCCACTCTTGCACTTTGTGTGCTGGTGCCACCTTATTTCATGTTGTGTGAGAGGGGAGGTAGAAGCCCCCCTCCCAGCATGTCCCGGGACTCCACGTGATGAGCACCGGTACTTACAGCAGGAAACGGGATGAGCGGCAGCTGTGGGGAAACACCGACACAGGCTCAGCAGTTCTGCAGCTGCCTGAGCCTGTGGATCGGCAAGCCCTGGGAGCAGGGCCTGAAGGAAGTGTGGGTTGCTCAAAGGGCAGCTGGGGAGAGAACCAGCTACCCAGGTGGAGAGGAGCAGAATGCCAGCCAGGAGATGCAGACGGCAGAACTGGGTAGAGAGGGCAGAGCATAACACAGGGCGAGAACCCCCAGCATCAGCCAGGGAAGCCCAGATGGGAGAACCAAGAGTCCAGGCTCGGGAAGCCGAAGATTGCCGGAAGGCCACAGCAAGGGAGATGGTTTTCCCCACAATCACAGGCAAAGACACAGCTGCTCCGCAGAGTTCAGGTACTGCGGCGGGGAAGGGTGGTGAGCGACGGCAAAACCCTGTGGGCAGCCTGGTGAAGAAGGAGGAACAGGCGGCGACTGGCTCAGAGCCCAGCGAGGAAGTGGTAAGTACCACCAGGTGGTGGGATCAGGAGTGATTAACTCCTAGTCAGCTGGACCCTGGGAAGAGTACCCGGAGAGATGGACAAATTCCTTTGTCCATCCCAGAGAGGCAGAGGGGTCCTGGGAGTCAGAATCCCAGGCACCTGTCGGCAGACGCTGAACATCTTCTCTTTTAGTTAAGAATTTTCTGAGTTATTGTTACCCCTCAGGCCGGGGCATGTTTAGTTACCTGAAAGTTGGTCTGAAGAGAGACCAACTCAGGAGAGATTGACAGCTGGAAAGACCCAAACCCGATCGAGGCGAGCCATGTGGATGAGAAGAGATCATCCTGGGGAAGATTACAGGGAGCAGTGCCCTTCCAAGCCGTGGAAGTGGTAAGGGGAGTTTTGGAGCCCCACGAAGAAAGTCCAGGGTCACAAGCCCTCTGGGACCACTGACAAGCAACTGCCTCCCCATCAATCAACATCAAAGTCGTGGCAGGAGAGTAGGGGAAGTGCTCAAAACCATCTAGGTGGCCACAGGGTGCAGTCTTACCCTGACATTGCTAGGGAGGAAGGCACCAACCAAAAAGGGAGCGAAGCCTTACAGCACCTACCAGCAACCTTATGGAACAGTGTGGTACTTTTCCAGGCTGTGTGTGTATCCATTTGCCTGGTTGTGTTAGACAGCCTATCTGCTTCTGAAGGCTGTGTGAAACTCTGTGCGTGTGAGAGAGAGGGAGAGAGAGACCCAGGCTTTTAAAAATCAGTTAACCCCTACTGCCCATCCTGAACCATTCTAATGCATATACATATACGTATAAGTCAATTCCAAAAAGTAAACCTCTAGATATCATTTTCAAGTCATCACCAGGTACTAGATTTCTCAAAGAAAAAAATTACCAGAAATGTTTCAACACTGAAAAATACTGTATTTTTTAATCTTATTCTTAAGAATGGTTGATTTATTATTAACATTTCCAAGAGTAGCAATGAGTGACACCCAGCATGAAAAAAATACAACAGTCCAAACAGTTAAAGCTACTGAAGTCAAGATCTTATAACTGTAAGTGCCAGTCAACCATAATAGAGTGTGCTGTTAGCCCTATCTCTATTATATGCATATATGCATAAGTATACTTATGAACATGAGCACATACACATGCCAAATTGGATAAGATCCCTTTGAAAACTGGTACACTTAGTAGGAAGATTAATATTATACATTAACCACCAAAAAATGGTTTACAAACAGCATTGAATATTGCATTCAAATATATTTACAATATTAATAGAATGGTTTCTATTTTTAACAGATTGTATGGACCAAAGAAAAACTAATGGAGGAGTCAACTATATTTGCTGATTTTCTAGATATGAACATGCCTCTTGGAAGTAGGATTTATCAAAATATCACTAACTATAAAAAACTTGTTTCTGTCTTGGAAGCATTCCATATGAAAATGAGTTCAACAAATAATGAGGTAAAGTGAACAGATGTCTTCTTATCTGTAGTTACTAAATTAAAATTAGGAAGAGAGATCCTTAAAAATATTTTTGAGCTTGTCAAATTATCAGTTTTTAGTACAGTCATCTAAGCTGCAGTGACAGAAATTGAATGTGTCCAGTCTACTTTCATACATGCAAATTTGGCATTTTAACAGTACACAGTTACTTGATTTCTGTCTGCAGTAGATACTGATGTGTGCAAGCGTGGATAGTGAAAATGCAGCAAGTATACATGCATCGTAAGAACATGGATTTAAAAATATATTCTTGGCAGGGTTATTATTGGTACTTCAGTATTTTAATGCAAATAATTTGTTACACTAGGCAAAAGAAGAAGGATTATCTTAAGGCTAAGGTACTGGATTTAGACCCAGGAGATTTGATTTTGTTTCTAATTCTGCTTTACATGTGTCACTGGGCCTTTGGTTTCAGTTCCATTCTTTAAAATGGATGTTCGAATAATGTAGAATTAATGTAGAGCATAAAAAACACTTAGGTACTATGATGATGAGCACTATAAAAAACTTAGAAATAAATTTAGAAAAATAACATCAGTTAAAATACTACTACTGTTTATCACTAGGCACAGTTAAAATCTTTCTAACTGTAAAAATAATAGGAGATCCAGTAAATCATAGCTGCTGCTGTAAGTAAAAAGGTTCTATTAATTTAACCTAGAACAGGGGCAGGTAAAATATGGCCCGTGGGCTGAATCTGGCCCACCATGCCATTCTATCCAGCCCTGCGGGACACCTACAAAGTTTAGAAAATTAATATTTATCTGCTGCAGGCTCCTTGTCAAAGATGGCAGGAGGACCTAGGGGAAACCAGCAGGAGTCAGGAGAAAAGCCAAACTGGCCCCGCCTCCTCCCCCATCCCCAAAAGTGTCTGCCTGCTGCAGCTTTCCCTGCACGCGGCCAGCTGCTCCAGCACCACAAGGCCCCTGGCTGTATTGGTGGACCACAGAAGCAGGGGTGTGCCAGTAGCCAGGGAGCGGGGGGGGGGGGGTATGTATGTGTGTGTCTGTCTGTCCATAGAGTGAGTTCCACAAGCACCCCCCACCATACACATGCACCCACACCTGCTCTCACTGCCATACCCACAGCCCCCTACACCCACACCCTCTCACACAGCCCAGCCACCCTTCCCCACAAACCTCATACCTACCCAAACCCCAAATATCCACACACACCCACATGCTCCCTCGCTCCACACCCACTCTCCCGCACCTGTCCACCCTCCACGCACACCCACAAGCCCCCCCACAAACCTATACCCACTCCCGATGCCCCCCACAGTTTACAAGAGTAAGACTTTATTTTAAGCTATTGTTCAATCACCTCTATGTACACTACACAAATGCATGTAAATCAGGACAAAAAGATTTTTTGAAATCAAATTAATGTATGTTATAGATGTGTGATTTTTTTAGAATATAATTTAGTATTTTTTCTGGCTCTGAGATGGCAAAACCCCTTGCTAAAAGGAGTACTTCTGGTGGGGAGGGAAGGGACTTCTGGTGGCAAAGGTAAGGGGTTAGGGGTCGGGACATCTGGTCCCAAGATGGCAACCAGGGGGCGGGGCTATCCATGTGGCCCTCGACAGCTTGCCAAAACTCAATAAGCTGCCCTCCACCCAAAATAATTACCCTCCCCTGGCCTAGAATGACATGTCATTTACCATGAGACAATGTCTCATTATCCTTTTTAACAACTACTAATTTCATAGAATTATGTATCAATTGAGTGAAATAAAAAATTGTGTCAACAACAAGCTTTTTAAGAGAATGCAGTCCTTAAAGGCAAGTTATCTCACCTCCCTTTTGAAAAAGATAAATTATGCTAAAGTTTCTTCATTTAACACCAGCAGAGGGCAATGCTACTTGAGAAATATATGACAACTTGAGGTGACTAAAAAGAAGTTTCCAGTTTGCAAAATTTTTTTTTCTGACCAGCTCTAATGAAATTTAATTTTGGTGCCAACAAGATAGTTTCATGATGTCTTTAATTTGTTGTCTTCACTTTCCTATTCACATTATTAATGAGATTCCACTTAAAGCTTTAAAGTAGGGCTTTCTCCCCTTTAAAAGGCATAATTAATTGTAATACACTTCAAAAGTGTTATGAGAGGACTTCAAAAACTGGATCATCGCTAGCCAACTGCAGAACAAATTCCTGCCTCTATCCCTTTTTATGTAACAGTCAATGCATACATCCATAGATGCAGAGGTACACTGACATTATTCTGCTGGGTGTGGCTAGATATGGTTTAAGAGACCTGTGCATGGTATTTAAGTTTTTCATCTGCTGCAGACTACTGCTTGCCAAAGGATGTGAGGGAGGAAGCTGTGCTGAGGCTAATAAAAGGGTTGTCACAGTAGCATAGCAAAAAGAGAACAGGTGGCAGTATTGAGAGTTTTTAAAGTGAGACTTAAGGGATAAGTACAGACAATCAAAAAGGCTGAGGCTAAGTCAGTTCAATCTTTGCAGGTTAGTCTAAGCTGGAAATGCATCCACAAGCCTGCAGTGACCCAGGCCAGAAGCTGGGGGCACTAGAGCACACTTCCCTGCTCAGCTGGAGCAGACAGCTTGGGCCAAGACTTAGCCCACCCATCATGTGAGGGGAAGTTTGCGGGAGAGGTGCAAAGCATTCTGGGATGCTGGGGAACTGTGCTTTGATTTGAATCTCGAGGGGATTTGGGACAGAAGTTCGATGAACTGATTTAACCTAAATCATTTAAGTCTGTTATTACATCATGGGTGCTAAGTAGGGCTATGCGAAATTTCACTGGCTGTTTCATTTCAATGTTGTTTCAACTCATTTCGAACTTGAAACAGTGGAATCAAAACCAAATGAAGGGCTTCGAAACAGTCTCAAAATGAAACAAGGGCAGTCAAAACGTTTTCAAAGTTTTGAAACGTTTCAAGTTTTGAAGCTGAGCTTGCCTACAGAAAAACAGAAAGTAAGGAGAGGGAGGGGAAAGAGGCGGGAGGGACTGCTCTCATATTGACTGTGTAGCTGGCCAGTGACTCTGATCCTTCCCTGAGGTCTCTTCTAATCCCAGTGCTCTGGGGGAGAGATGGAAAAACAGAATAAAAGGCAGCATTGTTTGAACTGGCCTACTTCTGCCTTGGGGTCAGTTACTGAGATGTCTTCCAGAAGCTCAGCAGCATTAGACAACAAAGGCTACCATTCATTTCCTACTTGCTAGCCTAGCAAGTGGGATTCAGGAATACCTTTTGCTTTCTTTCTATACTCTCTTATTTTATTATTATATTCATTGATTGATTCCTTTCCATTTATTCCTCCCCCATAATCCTCTTTTTGTTTAGTCTATTTTGATTCTTTTCAAATCTGTGCTTTCTCTCACTGTATGCATTCCATTCACTTTACAGGGAAGCACAGCATAATTACATACAGCATCTAGACTAACAGCAGCAGTAAAAAAAAAAAACAAACCAACTCCACATCTCTTGTTCCTCTGATCTCAATAGTGAGCAGCAATTAATGCTGCCAATGCAACCCTGTCACCAAATGTCTGGACCCACAGAGAACCTCATAGGACAGATGCTGTATGGAGTCTTCTTAGCCACACATGAAACCAAATAATGCTCACTTATATTGTTATAATACTATTGAATTCAGTGAAGCTGTACCACTATAATGGAGAGCAGAGTGTAGCTCATGGTGGTTGCTTTTGTAAACAGACCAGGTCACTGATGGTTACAATGAACTAAGTGCGGTCATGAAAGTGGCAATCATGAAATTGGCAGACAATCAAGAAGCAAAGAAAGAGAAGACATAAATGTGTTGGGTTTTTTTATTAATATTTTACCAATTGAAATTGAACTGTGACTCCCAGCTTTTCTAGGTATTTTCTCCTCTTTAGTCCTTTTCCCCTTGTTTCCCACCATAAATGTCACTTGGCATGTGCTGCTACTTTTCTTACCGTACTTGAAGCTTTTCTTTCTTGATTCCCCAGACTACAATGGTGTTCTTTAAGGAAGCTGTAGAACACATTACAAGAGCTGCAAGAGTTTTTCGACAGCCAGGTGCTCACATGATCCTGGTAAGAAAATTAATCTTTTATATTTACATAGCTGTAAATTTAAAAAAAAACAAACCCTAAAGGCACCAGTGGAATTGGGGTTTAATGCAGAATTTGCACTTGTCCTGACCAAGAAGGTTCATTTAACTTGCATTACCTTTTACTATGTTCTGCCTGATTACATGCAAGTTAAGATCAGAACTAGCCTTTGTTTCATTTGTGTTTACCAGCTGTAAGCTAAGTTGAAAATTGAAATTGTATTTTAAAGGAAATTATTCTGGCACTGCATGCTATTACTCATTCATTTATGTTCCCTGTATGACCACATCATCCCTCCAGCTCCAGGAATGCTTTACCTCAAGATCCTGAGTTTTTGGTTGTAGCTATGTTGGTCTAAGGACATGGCAGGCAAGGGTCTTTGGGTAGATGTGATATCTTTTATTAGACCAACTGAGTAGTTGGGGAAAAGTTCTTGGCAAGCTTTCAGGTGCAGTCACCCTTTATCTGGCATAGGGAGTCTCTGCTGGTCTGAGACTCCAAGGAATGAGAGAAGGTAAAAGTGTGGTAGGATGTCAGTGAAAATGTAAGTAGGTAGAGATAAGCAAGACAAAAGGTAAAGCAAGGGGGAAGAGAGCAGGGGGAGAGAGGGAAAAAAAGGGTCAGAGAGAGAAGGTCTCTTTTTTTTCTTTTTCAATTTGAGCTGGGGAAGGAGCAGTTTGCAGGCACACAGCAGACTGAAACCCAGTAGACCACATCTTGGGATCCAGCCCGCAAATTGACCCTATACGCAGGATCCAGCCCACAAACCAGCCCTGTGACACTCATCAGGTCCATGGGGCCCCAGAAGTTGAACAGTATTGATCTATATAGAATAATTAAGCTAGATCTTAAATAACTTTTCAAAATTGTCTTGAAATTTTTCCAAATTTAGCACAAAGTATATATAGTTTGCTCTTTGCCATATTATCTGATGAAAATTTTGTGAGTCAAGATGTTTTGAAACATATGACACAAACTGGGAATTTAGGGGGTTTGGGTTCTATTCCTAACTGTACCTATGACTTATTTTGTGACTTTGAAGTTGTCAATTTAGCTTCATTGTTTTAGCTTCATTTTTTTCCACTTATAAAATTAGGAAAATATTTAACTTTCTAAAGGGCTTTTAAATTTATGAATTAAAAGAAATGAGAAAAAATTAGCCCAAGAATGTTTAAATTTCTGTCACACCCTACTGTACTGCAATTTATATAGTACAATACTTTAGCAGAATCAAATAAACGTGTAAGTAGAAAAAAGAAAAACACTGGAACAATGCACATGTAATTATACAAATGTTTCATTTTATATTTAATTATGAATATATTGAATACCAAAGAGGTTCTTCAGTCATTATATGTACATGTAAATAAAGTTATATATAAAAACTGATATTTTTTGCAGATTGGACTGGATGGAAATGGGAAAGTAACATGTGTGACTCTAGCCTGCTATTTATCAAACTGCAGTCTTTTTAGGTTGTCTATTACCCACAGTTATACTTACTCAGATTTCAGAGAGGACCTGAAAAAAGTTTATAGGCAAACAGGGCTGGAGGGACAGAGGACTGTTTTTCTTATCACTGATTCAGACATACTAAAGGTAAACAGTCTTTTATATGATATTATTGCCAAAATGAGGGCATGTTGATGGATGCATGTATGTTTAATTGTTTAATTTAGAGTTACACCAAAGTGCATATGTACAAACAAATAGAGACCAAGATCCAAAAGTCACGCTATATAATTCTCATTCAAAGTCAATAGCAAAACCAGTAGATTTTAATAGTGAAGAATTGAGCTTGTGGCATTTACTGTATAATGATAAACCTTTTTTTTCCTAGGCTGAGTTCTTATGTCACTCTGATATGAAAAAATGAGTGCCAGGTTTAACTGAGAGATGAAAATTAAACATTTTCAAAGAACAATCTTAAGAAAAATTAATTATCAGAATATATATACAAGTTATTGATGGTTGGAAAATTTGGATATTTGACTTCTTGTTTCAACATATATTTTTGGCTGTATTTTTGAATGTGCCCCTGTATATCATCTTGTCTGTTTTTTTGTACTTATATCCTTTTGTTTTTATATATGCCATATATGTCCCTAATAAACCCCAAACCAGTATTTGAACTGTCACTGTTTGGGTATCCTCAAAAGGGTTTTGAGCTATGATTTTGATGCTTATGTGGAGTACATCTCTTTTCTCTGAAAACTGGACTGGAATATTGGCAAGAACAAACCATCATATAAGATTTCTAGTACTTTAATTTTTAATGGGGTCAGACGTAATAGGAAAATAGTTCTTTTTGTAAAACTTCCTTTTCTTTTTTTCATTCAAAATCAAGATATGTAGAAGTATGGGAAAACTGAGACACAACATAAAAGTTAACTAGTCTTTTCTACCTTAAAAAAGTGTCGGTTTGATTAGAGTTGTAGGCAAAGATGTGGATTAATTCCTCTTTTATTCAAACTCCTCCACCCTTTGTACACTTAATCCAAATACCACAAAAGCAGTGGTCATCAACCAAGGATCCCAGAGCCTCTTGAGGTCAGTCCTGGGCTGGGGGGGCTCAGCGCGTGTGCATGCATGCCTCCCCCAGCCCAGCAGCTCAGTCGGTGGAGGAGGGAATGGGTGGGTTCCCGAGGCACAATGTCCAGCCCGCAGTGGGAGCCACCACCTCTACGCACAGATGGGCAGTGCTGGCAGCTGCAGCTCTCAGGTAGGTAGTGGGGCAGTGCCGGCAGCTGCAGCTCTCAGGTAGGTAGTGGGGGTGGAGCAGGGACAGGCTGTGAGCGGCTCATCTGGGGGCATGGGGAGTGGGGGCACACAGCCCGGAAGGGCATGTGCCCCCAGATCTGCCTGCGGGGTGGGATGGGCTGTGGGCTGTTCCTGCTGGACTGCTCCCAGCCGGGCTGTGCTCAGGCCAGGTGGCAGCAGTGGTGGCACTGTGATCAAGGCCACGGAGGGGGCCATAGCCCCCCCCCACCCCTGCTCCCAGCACCGCAGCTGCCCGTCCCAAGTGCAGCATGGGCCAAGTCCAGTGGGAACAGCCTGGCACAGCCTTCCCCTCCCCCCGCTCCTTCCCCCCCCAAGGACATGGGGGCCGGGGAGCTGGTGGGCCTAGGGTAGGGTAGGGTAGGCTGCAGCTGCGGGCTGGAAGTGTGCGGGCTATTCCCACCAGACTGGCAGGTGGTTGCAGCACTGGGAGTGGGGGGACTACAGCCCCCCTCCATGGCCTCGCTCCCAGTGCTGCCTCTGCTGCCTGGCCTGAGCACAGCCCAGCCAGGAACAGCACAGCACTGCCCAGCCCACAGCCGAAAAGGTTGGAGACCACTGCCATAAAGTATTATGTTGTTAATTTTACAATCAAGTAAGCAATGGAGGGTTTACTAATTGCTGTCCTTCCTCTTAGGAATGTTTTTTAGAAGATTTGAGCTATATTCTGAATTCTGGAGAAGTACCTGACTTATTTGATAAGGAAGAGGTAGAAGATATTGTTGTGAAGCTTACAGCTGTTGCCGAAAAGGCTAACTACTCTAACAGCAGAGAAGCTATTCTTTCATTTTTTCTGCAGGTATTTTGTTAATTACATTAATATCATAGGATTTTGAAACTTTTTTTTAATCAAAATGTTAGAGTGCCACGTGCTGCTCAGGCTGAAGACATTGCCATTGACATCAGTTAAATAGAAAGAGGTCCCAAGCCCACATACTTCAAGAGTCTACTTAGGTCAGTAGTACTCAGCCTCCAGCATAAAGAACAGAAGTGTCTCACAGAGCCGTGTTATCTATCCTATGAGGTTCTCTGTGGGTCCAGACATTTGGTGACAGGGGTGCATTGGCAGCATTAATTGCTGCTCCTGTGCTGCCAAATTTATGGACCTGTGGGAAGCCCCAAAGACATGGCCTTGCATGCTAGTTCACACCAGTGTGCAGGATCACTCCATAAGCAGATTTGGTGCTCTGGATTAGGCCAGCATATATGGTCATACCCATGAACTAACCCTGCACAGGATCAGATGCACAGACAAACCCTGCACACAGGATCTGACCCACAGGCCATCCCCACATCACTCATTCGGCCTGTGGGACCATACAGATTGAGCACCACTAAGACAATTAAGTCAGTTTTGGAAGGAGAACTTGGTCCAGATCCTATTCCTATTAGAAATCTAATTAGGATCCGATTTCTTTCTTCTTGAATCCAAACAAAACCATAACCCCTATAGCATTCCTTCATTTTATAGGACAGCTACCCTAAGGTGATAACAAGGAACAGAAATTACCCATTAACTGGAATAAGTGGTCAAAAACCAGTTCAATTCTGTAACACAACAGAAGTTCAGTGCACATAAACTACTTTCAAAATGGCCAAAATTGGTTTAAAATGTATGGATGTAATATCAGACTTAACTGATTTAGGTTAAATCAGTTTATCGAACTTCTGTCCCAGATCTCCTCAAGATTCAGAATAACTCACAGTGCCCCGGCATCCCAGGATGCTTTGCACCTCCCCCACAAACCCTCACCCCTCAGCGTGGGTGGGCTAGCCTTGGCCCAAGCTGTCTGCTCCAGTAGAGCAGGGAGGCATGCTCTAGAGCCTCCCAGCTTCTAGCTTGGACCACTGCGGGCATGTGGTAGGAGTGTGCAAAATGGACCCTATTCGATTTGGATTTGTCCCAAATCAGGGACAGTGATTCAATTAATTGATTCGGATCACTGTCCCCTATTCAATTCAGCCAAATCTGAATCTGAAGATTTGATGCTGATTCAGAGAATCAGCGATTCAGCCATAGAGACAGCTTTAAATGTTTTTTCTACATACCTCAAGGTATAGGTAGAATGCAGTCTGTTGGGATATTACCATGTACAGATGTGGGCCTTTGCGTCCCATTGACATTCACTGGCCTTCCTTTTCCCCAAGGCCGGTGTCAGTCAACTCAGTTAGGTTGGTCTTCCTCACTATTATCTCACCTGCCATGAGTTTGATACCTTAATTAATGGGGGAGGGGTGATGACTCCCTGACCCAGGCTGACCATCACTTGCCCGGTGTCAGACCAGGTATATACAACAAAACCAAAAAAATTTCTTAGCAAGTAAAATAAAACTACAGGCCACTTGCCATCTGTCCATTGGTGCTTGTTCCGGCTGCAGGGGACTCAGATGCAGCCTCTTGCTCCCCATGTCCTTAATCCATGAGTGCTTGATCACCAGATCTGCGATCAAGCATTTTCCTTTTTCTTCCTTCAGTAATTGATACCACACCGGCTTAAATGACCGTGCGTGGCGACCAATTAATGCAGAAGCATTTTTTCCCCTTAGGCATGTGAGCTCCTCCAAGTTCTAAAGACCCTGCAGGTCTCTTGCCCCATTCCCAGAGAGTTCAGTTCTGAGCACCAGACAGGCATTCACTCTATCGTCATGCCCCATCTCTCCCTTCTACCATCCCTCTTCATCCTGTCTCCTTGGACCAGAAATAATCCTGGGCTGCTTAAGGAGTCCAATCCACTTCACCTGGCGAGGTGATAAAACGGCACTGGGGGGAATTGGGAGCTCCCATTGGAGCATGGCCATCCCGCCTCAGCTGAGCAAACTCCCCTGGCCAGGGGTCTGCTCCAGCTATGCAATCTTGACCTTTTCAAATAGTCTTTCACACACTGGATTGTGTTAACCGTGGTCTCAACAAGGGCTATGGATTCATATCTCATTACCTGGACTAGCAGTTACTTCCAGTGTTCTTCAAGGGGTTAACTGTCTTGTTCATCTCAAGGGATCAAATGAATCTTCTTTTTACCTCTCTTAGCAGTGTCTCTGCCCTTTTATATAAAACTCTTTCTGCCAGTATGTTTGTAGCACCTAATGAAGTAGGTTGTCGCCTATGAAAGTTCATGTCTTGCCTCTCTGAGCCAGTTGGTCTCCAAGGTACAACCCTGTCCTATGTTCTATTTGATTTCAGACTAACATGGCTAGCCAGTTCTCTTCATTTTATCCATAAGACTAAATCACAGATTCCAGTAAGGAAGAACCAAACTGACCTGCCTTTTGTGCTAATGCTTGCTCAGGGCCACAAGCAGGGTGGATTACACTTCAGTGTTTAACTATCACTGTGGGTCCTGTTACACATTAAAACTAAAATGGATAGATATCAACTATAGAATTGTTAGTCATTTTCATGCACTAACTTTATAGCTGGTTGACTCTTTTTATAGCTGGATAGTCATTTTTATTGTGTGATAATTACTAGGGCTGCACTGATAAATGTTTTTTGGGCTGATACCAATAGCCAATCATTAACAAGCCATATTGGCCGATACTGATCCAGTTGCCAATATGCAGCCCAGCAGCTTGGAGAGCAGCATCTGGCTGGTAAGTCTGTTGTGGTGGAAGGGGTGGGGAGGGAAGGGGCATGGGGCAGGCAGATCGAGGCCCCTGTCGTGAGGGAGGGAGTGGGGCAAGGGCAAGTGCTGCCCAGCCAGGGTGAAGCAGGACATCAAGATGGAGCCATAAGTGGCTCATGGGGGGGGGGGGTGGCACAGTGAGGGGCGGCAGCTCCCACCACAGTGTGCACCCCCAGGGAAGGCATGGGGGGCATGTGCCTCCCAGATCTGCGCATGGGGCATGGGTGGGCTGCCTCTGTGCACTATGGGGAGGATGCAGCGCCAGGGTTTTCCCGGCATGGAGGGGCTGGGCCAGGGCTGCGCTTGGGATGGGCAGTGGTGACGCTGGGAGAGGGACTATGGGGGGCCCATAGCCCCCCCTCCCAGGACCACTGCCACCCACCCCAAGCACAGCCCCAGCCCAGTGCCACCTCATGCCAGGAAATGCCCAATGCCACCCCCAGCCTGCAGTGGCAGCCTGTCTTTGCTCTGCACACAGTTCCTGGGGGTGCACAATCCCCATGCCTCCCCCAGGGGTGCACACAGTGGTGGGAGCCACCCCTCCAATGAACTGCTCACAGCTCCTGCCCCAGCTACACTCCCTCACTTAATCTGCACCCCCTATGCCCCTTCCCTCTCCCTGCACCTTCCACCCCAACAGAATTACTAGCTAGACGCTGCTCTCTAAGTTGCCGGGCTGGCTGCGTGCATGCTGTAGCGTCACACATGCATGTGGCATTTATTGGCGACATTATTAACCGCATCAGCCAAAAAAAACCAATTGCCAATACTGTCAATTTTCCTTTTATCAGTGCCGATACAATATGGACGTATGTGTCGATGCACCTCTAATAATTACTTTGCACATGTAGCTGATCTAAATGTATGAATAACCAGTTAATTGTGTAATATAAGTAATATATAGCAGGGGCCTTATACCACCTAATAAGCAGATTAGAATCTGGCCCTTAGGCTCCAAGTCATTTAGGCTTTTTTTTAAAAAGTTCTTACATATTTATCTTTCTGTTTATAAAAATGTTAAATAGTGGTAGTTTTGAATTTTACCTGTGGTTTTCCATTTATCTATAAAGGCTGATTATTAAAGTTTTTTATTTGCTGAAAGTGTTTTTTCTGGGGGTTGGGGGAGAGGGGGTTAGGTGGGCAGGAGGAAAGAGGTCCCCCGAGCAAAATAAGCACAAAAAAATAGACACAGTATGCCAACCAGTTTCCACCACAGTGGCACATCTACACAAGACATTTTACTGTGCATTAAACTACACTAATGTGCAGTAAAGCTTCACCATCTACACATGCATGGTACTTACTGTGCAGTAAATTAGGGTAGCACCAGGAAATACAGTTGCTAAATTAATGGCACATTAGTTACCACACAGTAGTGTAGATGCTGACTGGAAGCAATTTGGTCAGGACCCAATCATCATGTGACTGGGAGAGCTGTCTCAGCAGCCCAGACTGCTGCATCCCAGCAGCATGGAGATCAGAGGGTCCCAATCCCCACATGGCCAGGAGAGCCATCCCTGCTCAGAGGTGCCACTGTCTGCCAGCCATATGGGGTTCAGGATCCTCACGTGGCTGGCAGGCAGTGTCCCTGCTCAGCAAAGATGGCTCTCCCAGCCACATAGGAATTGGGACTGGCCCCCCCATCTCCCCTGCCAGCCCTGAGGCTCCCCCTGGCTGCTGCAGGGGGGCAGAACAGGGCAGGAGCAGCCCTGGCCTGGGCTGCTCCTGTCAGGTACAATTTACTCTGGACAGGGGCTCACACGGAGACATGTACCCCAGAGCACTTCAATGAGCCTGTATTTTCTGCAAAGAATATTCAAGCATGTTAATTGCATGTGTGTATGTGCCCAGTAGGGATCTAAGCCTATAGTCCTTATGAAAGTGTAACTCAGCTCTATTCCTACAGTCAGTATGAACGTGTGAGGATCAGGTCAGACCCGTGGGGATTGGGATCGCCACGTGGCTGGCAGACAGCATCCCCACTGAGCAAGAACAGCTCACCCAGTTATGTGGGGATCAGGAACGGCCCCATATTCCCTGCCAGTGTTGGGGCCCCCCCAGCTGCTGCAGTGGGGCAGAGCAGGGCAGGAACAGCCCTGGACTGAGCTGTTCCGATCAGGTGCAATTTGTTCCTGATGGGGGTGCGCACATAGATGTGTGCCCCAGAGCGCTTTAATGAGCCTGAATTTTCTGTGAAGAAAAGTCAGGTGTATTAACTGCATGTGTAGATGTGCCCAGTAGGAATCTGTTCCTACAGTCCTTATGAATGTGTAACTCAGCTCAAAGAATTATGCCCATAAACAGACTTAAGAATTGAGCATTTAATTAGAGGAAAGCCTGTGGAGGCTGCCTGGCTTTTTTTTAGGTATTGTAATGAATTAATGTGCTATGCTTTATATAGGCCACATACAGACATTCAGTTTCTCTTGGGATAGTTGCTATTCTCCCAGTAGAAACCACAAGTGTACAAATGTTTAGGATTTTTTTCCCAAAACAAAAATGGCCAGTCCAAGAGAAAAATAACCCAGGGTTAAATCACATCCAGGATAGTGAATATCTATACACATCCTCTTCTGAGGGAAGCTATAGCACAGTCCTCCAGTGTGCTGCTTGCTGGACTTTACTGCTCCAGCCCAGCAGGGGCCAGAACATGCTCCCTTAACAATCCCCACAACTTGCAGCAAGGAGATGCAGGCTGACTCTGAGCAGCTAATCAGGGCAGCCCAGTACACAGTTGCCATCTGTCTCCAGGCAGACCAAGGGAGCCTGCTGAGATGTATGCAGAGGGACCCCCAGAATGCTCGGCATCAGCACTGCAAACTCTCTGCTGTTCAGGGGCCCAGCATTCTAATGTCTGTTGAGATTTGAATCATAGATAATTAGGGTTGGAAGGGACCTCAGGAGGTCATCTAGTCCAATCCCCTGCTCAAAGCAGGACCATCCCTAACTGAATCATCCTAGCCAGGTCTTAAAAGCCTCCAAGGATGGAGATTCCACAACCTCTCTAGGTAACCTGTTCCAGTGCTTTCCTACCTTCCTAGTGAGAGAGTTTTTCCTTATAACTAACCTAAACTTCCCTTCCTGAAACTTGAGACCATTGCTCATTGTTCTGTCATCTACTACCACTGGGAACAGTCTAGTCCCATCCTCTTTGGAACCACCCTTGAGGTAAAGGCTGGTATTAAATCCCTTCTCAATCTTCTCTTCTCCATATTAAACAAGCCCCATTCCCTCAGCCTACCCTCAGAAGTCATGTGCCCTAGCTCCCTAATCATTTTTGCTACTCTCCACTGGACTTTCTCCAATTTGTCCACATCCTTTCCGTAGTGGGGGGCCCAAAACTGGACACAATACTCCAGATGTGGCCTCCCCCGACTGCTGAATAGAGGGGATGAATCATTTACTTTGAAATGCTAGCAATGCTCCTACTAATGCACCGCAGTATGCTGCTAGCCTTCTTCACAACTAGAGCACACTGTTGGCTCATATTGAGCTTATTGTCCACTGTAACCCCCAGGTCTTTTTTGGCAGAGCTGCTGCTTAGGTAGTCAGTCCCCAGCCAGCCGTCTCTCCAGGCAAGTTTTTCTACCAGGAAAACAAACCAGGAAGAATTCTCAGATCATTTGAATATGTGTATACAGCCATAGTCTTAAATTCACAGCTTCACAAATTATTATAAAAAAATTAGGTTGTTGATCATTTGGGTATAGTACTGTTAGCATGGAAGGAGGTCGTAAATTTAACATACCTTAAAAAAAAATTTTTTTTAAATAAACTAGTTTGAGAGGGAAAACGTTAATCTTTGTAAAGGTAATTTCCTCCCAAAATTCTAACTTTATTTCAGAGAGTTCATAGCAACCTTCATATTGTTTTGACATCAAGTCCTGCAGGGCATAATTTCCGTCAGTATTGCCGGACATATCCTGCCATTATTAATTGCTGTACAGTTGATTGGTATGAGAACTGGCCTGAAGAAGCTCTCCTGCATGTTGCCAAAAACTACTTAAGTCAAAAGAATATTTTTGAAGAAAATGAGGTAATGTCAATAGAATTTATTTTTCTTCTTTAACCATATGTAACAAGACTGGTATCAGAGGGTGTTTATGGGGCCCCCTGGCAGCTGTATTGATCCTGTCTCTTCCATGCTGGTCTTTCTCTGGGTACCAACCTGTCCTCACTTGCCACACCTTTGTTATTACTGTTTACTGTGGGAGGACGCCTCCAGAGAAACAGAATACGGCCATGGGTGCCCTGCTCCACTTTGCTCAGCCCACCAGGCCCTCTCACCCTCTGCCCAGTGGGCTTCTGGCAGCCCATTCTCAAAAATCTTGGGCCTCTGGGCTCTGTCACCTCTCACTTCATTCACTGGGGTCTCCTTCTCCCTTAAACAAAGTCTCAACAGCACCCCACCTTAGGACACCCTTTGTTGCCTGCAACCTCCCCTGCAACCACACCCATGCCTCACAGCTATGCAGATCAACAAGAAACAGTTTTGCTTAGGTTCAGTGTGAGCTCTGCTCCGTGAAGAGCAGTAGAGACTTAAACGATAATGTAAGTGTGGGCCTGTTTCTTGCATTGATTATATGAGTACATATGAGTACAGTTGGCTCCCTAGAAGTTAACAGGGCTCTGCTAGTATAAAACCTATACAAATAAGAAAAAGAGCAGGTTTATAGGATGTAAGTTGGTAATAGCATTGGTAAAATGTCATCTCATCCTTAAATGAGCCATAAGAGTGATTAGGAAAATGTTACTATTCTTACTGTACAGTAGATTTTTAGCCAGTGCTTAATTATCTAATACACTGGTTCACATTTTATCTTCAGATATATTGGTTTAATCTTACTGATTTCATTTTTACCAAGTGAAGACAAGATTATATCTTCTGTACTGTTTAACGTCCTTGTCAGTAACACAGGATTTTGTTTGAAAAAACAGAGAAAAAAATAATTTATATTAATTGGAAATTACTAAAAAAATACAATTATTTCTTATTAATTATAAATTAATAGTAAATTTTTTAAATACTTTCTATTAATTTTCCTGTAACACCGTTCAGTGTATTCTATCTGAATTTAAGAAAGTTGCATAAAGCAGGAGCTAAACAAAAATGTATACTATACTTCAGAAATATAAATATTTTAATTTACTTTTTCTCTTTTTTAATCATTGCATTTTCCAGACCTTAACAAACAGGGTTACCTACACGTGTGTTGAAGTCCACAAAAATATATCAACAATAGTTGAGAGGTATTTGAAGGAAACTAAGAGGCATTACTATGTCACTCCCAGTAGCTATTTGCAATTCATAAACACCTTTTCCAGAATATTACAGATCACAAAAAAGAAAACTCTGATTAACAGGTGAGAAATTATTAGCATTTCCCTACTGTGTACTTTTATAATGTAAAGTTGCATGAAGTATCCCTTTCAGATCAGCAAAATGTCAAAATCTAGCAAAATAGAGCATGTTGTTAAAGACACACTCCTAATTTGTGCCTAATTTGGAATGTGAAATGAACCTGAGCTACTATTTCAAGCAAGGTAAATGAAAGACTTCACTTGAGATGTACAGCTTGGTATTTCATTTTACTTTTTTTTATGTTTTAGGGATTGTTTTCAAAATGGTCTAACCAAGCTTCTGGAAGCAACATCATTAGTTGCAGAAATGCAGGAGGAGTTGTTCATTCTTGGCCCTCAAATAGAGCAAAAATCAAAGGTACATCTGAATTCATACTTGTTTTCTCCCATGGACTTTCAAAATCTTCAGTCATTCCCACTGCACCTCACCTCAGAATTCAAAACCTAAATCATACATGTTCTATCACCTCATCTTTTGAGCCTGTCAGTAAATTAGGAAATTATCATGTACTTCCTGGTCGTATGTTTCCACGGTTGACAGAAATGTAAATGAACTGAAGACAAGGTATACTCTTGATTGGTTGACAAGAAACAGAAAAATAATTCTGGAATCTGTAGAATCTTAGATTAGTGATTTAGTCAATTTACTAAGTGTACTTAAAATTCTACAGCCAAAATATTTTGCTAAGGAAAAGTTTTTTTTCTCTCCTGTTAGGAAACAGAAGAACTTGTGGAAAAACTTCGTAGAGACTCAGTAGTAGTGGAACAGGTTCGAATGCTTGTTAAACAGGATGAAGAAATCATGGCTGAAGAAACAAAAGTTGTGGAACAATATGCTAAGGTAGAGAACCCGTTTGACTTTCAGATTTTGATTTAAATGGGTCCATTCTTATGAGGCACAAAGAACTCTCAAGTCTCATTGATTCCAGTGGAAATTGAGATTATTGAGAACCTTGCAAAATCTAGTTCATTTTAAAGCAAAGATAAATAGTTGCAAAAATATACACCAGTGTTCATATGCCCCCAGCATATGAATGAATTATATTAGGATTCTTTACAAGTTAAAAATTAGAATTAGGAAAAAAGCACAAAAGGTCTCTGTCTTGTTTCTTTTACTCATGATTCTGATTAGAAAATATTTGTGCCTGAATGGCACCTTATTATTTCAAACAATGTCTTTCGGTGTGGCTTTCTGTCAAAACAAGAGTTTCCCTTCTGATGGTTATTGTGCACTAGAAGTGATTTCTGTACAGTACATACTGCCAAAAGAGAATGCCAATTTTAACCTTTTAATGGTTTTTTAATGTTTACAATATAGCAAGCTACAGAGGAGCTAAATGCTGTAATGCCAACTTTAGAAAAGGCTCTTACTGCTTTAGATGCACTGGACAAAGCCCACATTGCAGAACTCAGGTAGGTCTGTTTTATTTTAAAGCCTTGTCACTTTATTTTAAAGCTTTGTTCCAAGCAATAGTAATCTGGCATTCTAGAATAATAATGCTGGCAGATTTCACAAGTACATCTACCTATCTGAGCTCCTGCCTTAGAAAAGTTCCATAAATAAAGGTGGAGGAGGGGACGTATAATTTACACAAATTGCAGGGATATGTTTCACAAACTGGCAGTACTACTTCTGCTGGAGCTGCAAGATCTATACTGGAAAAGGTGGAACTAAGTTTTACTGGGTAAGAAATTATCCCAGGGTCAAATTTCAATTTGTTCTCAGTGAACAAACAGGAAAATGCTGAAGAAGCGTGGAACTAAAGAGTAGCCCAATAGGAAACAACCACAGTTTGTGATCTGTATGAAATGTTAAACTCAGCAACAGTTCTTGTTAACCTCTCAAATGCTTCTCTCTCTTACAGAGTGTATATTCACCCTCCTCCTCTTGTACTAACTGTTATGAATGCAGTCTGTATTCTTCTGCAGAAGAAACCTACTTGGGCAACAGCAAAACACCTTCTTGCAGATCCAGCGTTCCTCAAAACATTGGTTACTTTGGATAAAGATAATCTACCAGAAAAGGTGAAGCAAAGCAGTAATGTATAACATTTTTTCTTAACTCCTTCTGTGAGAACTCTTTAAATGGTGTTGATTTGCCTTAGTTAAGGATAAATTTTGCATCAGAACTTGGGCCTAGATGTCCTATGCCATGTGTTACAACCCACTTGCACCACTCTGAAAAGACAAAAAAGCTACAGACCAGGCAAAAATTACTCCTGCAGAATCCCACTATCATGAATAAAGTTCCAGAGTAGAAGACAGGTCCAGGGAAGGCTAGGAGAACGAGGAAACAGAGAATACAAACTGATGTTGCATTTGTCCCAGGATAAACAATTTTATCTCTGGACAAAGTGCAGTCGTTCAGGTGTCCATACCCTTTGTCCCAAAATAAATCTTTAAAAAGTTCATGGTATAAGAAGTACTGACAGTTTATCCCAGGACATTGCTAAGTGTGTCTGAACAGTTATCCCAGGATTGCAACATTGAGTCAATGGCAGAAAAGTACGAATGCATTCAGCTACCCACTAAACCCTGAGCAGAGGGGTTATATATGTACATGCCAATCCCAAGGGCATTTCTTTTCCACAACATACAGGCACATCTTGTCCAGAGACAAATACAGCATCCGTTCCTGGCCAGAAAGATGTAAGCATACTATGTATTAGTATATCAGTCCATAAAGGACTGTTACAAGCTGGTCCAGTTTAGAACAGCCCTAGGACTGCCCTAAGAGGAGATGAAGGTTGAGGTCTCATTTAAAAATGTGAAAGGGTGACAAAGTCATTTTGTCTGCTCCCACTCTTCCAGTTTTCTGCTTATTACAGAAGTAGAGGAATAGAGAATCTGTCCTACTGTGTTAATATATAGATTTGGATATGAATAATGCCGTTAGCAAAAAAAAGAAGAACATTAAGATCTATGAAAGCTTTGTAGTTCACAGGTGCACATGGCAGCAGGAAGCACTGCCCAGGCAGGCACACAGTGTAGGGGGGATCAAGTGGATGGAGTTGTGGGCATGTGATGCAGCAGTGTGGGGTGTGTTCTGGGATTGTGCAGTCTGCAGGGCCGTGGCTAACCCTAGTGCAGTCTATGGGGCACACAGCCCCTGCCTACTTCCTAAGCCTGTGCAAGAAACGTAAGTCCCTAGCGGACTTACCATCTGCACCCCTTTGGCTAATGCACAGAACTTCAAATACTAAATACAGCTATGAGGGAAGACATCAGAAAAATTCAGAAACCATCTTCTTCTAATCCAAAAGAGAGCATCTTAAACTGGACATACTTACTTCACTAAACTAGGAAATATAAACCAGGAAATAAACTTTGTTACTATTCGGAAATCCCAAAACTTCTACCACTGGAATGAAAAAAATTGGAACCAATATCACAAGAGCCATCTTGCAGACAGCATATCAACACTAAAGGGGAGAATCAAGACAGTGCCACCCATAACAACATCACTAATCTATCACAGTGCCTCCCCCATCCCCCCCACCCCATTCT